TCAAACACTCGATCACTCAATTGTTTGCGGTTTGTGTCGAACAGTATATCTCTTTGCCAGGCGTTTGGGTCAGTACTAACGGGCCGATAGCTGGGCACGATATCAGCGTCACAGGTACAATAATATTTTTCATCTAGCTCCATCGTCTCTTTGGTAAATTGTGCCAGCTCGTTTTTTTCGCGCGGCGATAAACGATCAATGTTAATTTCAACAACACTCTTATATATAGTGAGCGAACTCTTAGTGTCAAAATCTTTTAACAAAACCATATCCGACAACTTAGTGGGCCTATACTGGGGTTGACTCTTCAGATAATCTTTCAACTCTTGAGTACGCAAAATGGTCACCATTAGCAACATGAGCATACGTGGTAATGAACCACGGCGCATTTCGCGGTATATTAATTCCTTCAACTCGATGGCCGTCGGGTCCATCGGCTTAAGCATGACGTCATCGCCGACTCCGCCCAATAATTGTTCAAATTTGTTGTAATGATTGTCACATTTTGGGAATTCAGCGATCATTTGTCGGATCAATTGGTCGAGTAATTGACGGCTTCTATCGTCGGTGGCCACCCCTCGGCATCTCTTCAAGAGCTCAAAACGGACTATGTATTCATGTAAATAATACACGGGTTTAATATATGCATGTTTTTTTTATGTGGTGGGTATTGTGACAATTGTCGTTTATAAACAACAATAATTTTTTACAACAAATGAATAACTAATAAAACCACTGAAACAATACATATTTGTAAAACAATCTGTCCATAATCTTATTAATTAACAGTCCATGTCTGACCATGTAATACCGTTACACATAGCGTTGCCAGATATACAGGAATTAAGAAATACTTGGTCAGATATGTTAATAATAATAGTCTTGTACACCCATAATCCAAACTAATGCTAGAAAGCCAATAAATTTAAACATAAATAACTCAATAGCAAAGATATTGTATAAGCACTCAAATTTTTGTAAAAGTATAAGTCGTTGGAAATTGTATGAATTTAAAGTTTTGATTGGCACACAATGAAATACAGGAATTTTTGGTAACATTTGCACAATTATACAGGAAATTTAAAATAATTTCTGGCAACGCTAGTTACACACAATACGCTATCTCTGTATATGTCACGACATGTATACCAGAGGGAAGTTGTGTTACATTTAAAAACATGGACTGTAAGTAATATCAATATGTGTTATATTTTGTACGGCTAGGTTTCGGATAAATTTTTTTGAGGAATATTTAAAAAAGTGTTGTTCGATAAATTGTCATAGACTCTTTTGTGAATAAATATAAAATACTAAAATCATACAAACATGGTCCCTCAAAAACATCACAACTTACTGGGAATCATATCTTTGGATCGCTTCCAGTGGCTGCGAACCAGCCGTACGTTTTCATCGCTCATTTCGGCGTTCATTAGGGTCTTTTGGACATATTTCTTTTTGACCATGGCCGACGAAAATTCTGAAAACATTTTTGCGGGCATTCCGGCAAATTGTATGAACACAGAGCCGGCCATACTGGCCATACTGGCCATCGGTTTCACGAATAAATCGGCCCCAGCCTTGAATGCATTCATGGGATTCATGAACGAAAAACTAGGTTAAAATTTAATTAATATTAATTTATAATGTGTGCTAATAAGTATGAAATATGATGTTTTACTTACAAACCACCGTTTTGTGGCGTCGATTGGACCATGGTGATCAACATAAACACTAATAAATACTTTTTGACAAACATTTTAAACAAAGAGTTCAAGGGTGGTTTGTTTTAAATAAACATCTAAATTATCTTTATTTAAAATAATATTGTTTCACTTTATAGTAGTTTTTTTAATGTAAAATTTTGATAGTTTTAATAATTTTAATTAGATTTTACACCGTATTTGCTAACAGGTTTTATCTAAGTTAATTAAATAATTATATTACGCAAATAATTAAATTTTAATATTTGACGTAATATGTATAGAATTTTGTTAGAATTTCCATTTTCTATATTTACGTTTATAAAGTACGTATATTAATTAATATAGTTTACATAATATTGAATTAAATAATTATAACAAAATTTGGTAAATAATTAATTAATTCAAAAAATATAATTGAGTAGAAAATGATAATTTGGTTTAATTAATTGAAAATTATGTATAATTTACAAATAAACTAATCAACGGCAACGAATTCAATAAATGTTTATAAGACTTATGGTAAATAATTATTAAATGATTTAAACTAGGAGTGCCCAAGATATGAGCAATTTTCATTTTTACTATGTCAACTTGTATAAGTTTACATTAAATCATAGGTTGTTTAGAGAAGCTTAATCTAAACAATAAACGGTATAATGAAATTATTTAAAATTAATTTTATTTTTATACATTAAAAAAATTAATTCAAAACAACTATTAAACTTTTTATTATTTTATTCAAACAGGGACTTGCGGGACAATGACCGACTCACCCAAAGGCACTGCAATGATAAAATGTAATTTGTAAATAAAATATTATATACTTATTGTATTAAAATTAAAGTGATTACATAATAGTACACACAAATAAACTAGTACAATGTCACTTTAGACATACAATATAATAATAAAAAGTGAAAAAGTAAAAAATTTGTCTGTTTTGCACATAAATTCAAAAATGTCGAAAGATTTTGGTTCACTTTTAAGGCAATGGATTGGCTAATACAGGCCCACACAGAAATCACTTAAGAGTTATTGCAAGTAATTAACAAATAATCTAAACAATGAATGTATAATCAGATTATTCAAAAATAAATATTAAATAATTTATTACAATTTTTTTTGTATTAACAAAATATGAATTAACATTAACAATAATCAAAACAATTATCAAACAAACATGTTATCTATAATTTGTCCGGGTCTTTGCCCGCAATCGTTTGATTCAAACAGGGACTCGCAATCACCGACTCATTCAACGGCACTGTAATGATAAAATGTGATTGGTAAATAAAAAAATGTACACATACTGCATTAAGATAAAAGAAGTTACAAATACAATACATACTTAAAATAGATTTCAAATCGACATCGATCAGTTCTCTGGTCAATTCGAACAACTCATTTTCTTCGGGGTCCTTTATGTTTGGCGAACGCGAGTCAATGATATACTTATAAAACGTAAACATCGGTTGCAAATCAAAGTCCTTATGCGTTAAATAGTCGGACAGAGGGCTCGGCCTATACTTGGGATGGTTTCTCAGGTACTTCCGGATCTCTAGAGTGCGCCAAACGGGCACCAAATCGGTGAGCACCATGCGCACTAAGTTACCACGACTCATTTCGCGGTACATCAATTTTTGTCGGTCGAGCGTAGGTTTGGTGAGCGCGTGCATACGTAGGTCGTCGCCGGGGCCGCCCACCAATTGCTTAAGGTTGTCCAAAAATGGTTTCTTACGACTGTTAAGGTTGTTCACAATCTGGTCCAGTGTTTGGCACTCCTTCGCGTCGGTGACCAGAGGTTTGGCCTGTTTTAACATCTCGACACAACCAATTGCTTAAGGTTGTCCAAAAATGGTTTCTTACGACTGTTAAGGTTGTTCACAATCTGGTCCAGTGTTTGGCACTCCTTCGCGTCGGTGACCAGAGGTTTGGCCTGTTTTAACATCTCGACACGCGCTGTGAATTAATCCAGAGTAATTAGTATATAATACAATAATTAGGTTAATAAAACAATATTATGGATAAGTTTATGATTTGATTAAAATCGTTCAACAGATGACCACCATTCTTTCATAATTGATATTTAATTTATGTATATCAGTTACCGAAAGGCTTGTAATTACAAGTCATAAATATTGATTACGTGGAAACTTATTTAATATAATCTTGTTGTAATATTAAACACATTAGTAAATAATTATGTTCTAATAATAATTGATCTAGATTATAAATTTGTTAAATCAAATTGAAATTTGCTTCATTATTCAAAATGGTTTCCGGATCGATATGCACAATAGGTATGTACAGTATGAACAAACTGTCATTTACTATAAAGTATTACCGGTTTTGTTAACATCACTACTCACTCGGTATTAATTCTTTATTCCTCTTCCAGAAGCTCCTGCCGCGTCGTTTGTTGTCGTCAGTCATTTCTCCGGTCATTATTGGCTTCTGGACGTAATCCGAGACAAATATTTTTGGCAA